TCTCTCTCTCTCTCTCTCTCTCTCTCTCTCTCTCTCTCTCTCTCTCTCTCTATCTATCTATCTATCTATCTATCTATCTATCTATCTATCTATCTATCTATCTATCTATCTATCTATCTATCTATCTATCTATCTATCTATCTATTTATCTCTCTCTCTTTCTCTCCCACCCCCTCCCTCCATCCTTCTCCCTCTCCCTGTCCGTCTCCCCTTATATGTCTATCTATCTATCTATCTATCTATCTATCTATCTATCTATCTATCTATCTATCTATCTATCTATCTATCTATCTATCTATCTATCTATCTATCTACATGTATCTGGCTATCTGTTTCTCATTCTTCTTCTTTCTGTCTCCCTTCCTCTCTCTCTATCTCTCGTCATGTCGGTCTATCTCTACCTGTCTCACTATTTATGGTTTTGTTCTCCTTTTTTAAAAACTTTTTTTCCGTTCTCTCCCAACAGTTTCAGGAAAGAAACCCGAAATCTGAAGGGATAGCGACTGTTAAACCCTTCCTTTGGACTTTACTTACCAGAAGACGACCGTCTTTATCTCTGACATCACGAATGTAGAACTTCAACGTTCTAACTTCTCACTGATAAGCAATTCTTTTTTTAGAACTTGGTGTCTTGAATGTAATCTCAGTCTCTGCTGCCATTTTCTACAGAGAAAAAGAAAGAGAAGCTCAGAAGTATAAAATAAGTCTCAAGAAGCAAACTCAAGTGTGAATTATCCTGAATATCGTTACCTTGGCAGGATGGCTTCTACCAAAACAATGTTCGTCTTCTTCTGCTTGTTAGCTGTTGGTGAGTAGACAACCATAACATTAAAACTAAAGTCCTTACAGGAAGATTAATTATGATGATGATGATGATGATGATGATAAAGATAATGATGATAATTATAATAAATCTAATAATAATGATAATAATAATTATTACTATCAATTACTATCGTTATTATTATTATAATTATCATTATTATCACTATTTTTATTATTATTATTATTTTTATTATTATTATTATTATTATTATTATTATTATTATTATTATTATTACAGTGATGATGATAATGATGATGATGATGATGATGATGATGATGATGATGATGATGATGATGATGATGATGATGATGATGATGATGATGATGATGATGATGATGATGATTTTTTTGTTTCCTTAATGGGCCTGACGGACTCCAGGAAGAAATCTTCGAGCGAGAGCGAGGCTCTTTTTCGGCTCCATTGTCAATATGCTTAGTGGCACCTCCACTCGTCCAAATAACTCCATTCGAATTGCCATTGTTCCTGGACATTCAAACATATGTTTGACATCCTCCTTTTCATGGCCGCATCTTTGGCAACATGGGCTGATGATGATGATGAGGAGGAGGAGGAGGAGGAGGAGGAGGAGGAGGAGGAGGAGGAGGAGGAGGAGGAGGAGGAGGAGGAGGAGGAGGAGGAGGAGGAGGATGATGATAATGATGATGATGATGATGATGATGATGATGATAATAATAATAATAATAATAATAATAATAATAATAATAATAATAATAATAATAATAATAATAATAATAATAATAATAATAATAATAATAACAATACGGATACCTCATCTGTCTTATTGCTCTCCGGTGCCTCCGCTCCTGCCTATCTACGTCAATTCAGAGCAGAGGTCCTGCCTCGTGCATAATCTCATTGCCTTGAAAGACGTATAAACCAAAACGATTTTGTAAGGAAGGGGAATGGTATAGTTTATTGTCACTTTTGGCACACAAAAAACTACAGTGAAAATTGTCTAAGACGGCCCCCCATTGTCAAGTAGAAACATTGTCGTCTCAGAAAGGTGGATGTCTTACACAGTGTCATTATCATCATCATCATCATCATCATCATCATCATCATCATCATCATCATCATCATCATCATCATCATCATCATCATCATCATCATCATCATCCAGTGCCAGATCTGCGACAGACATCGGCGATCATGGTTCTCCATTCATTCCCTTGCTCGGATGCTCTCAAAAAAAAGCTACGTTTCCCTGATCTTTCCCTGTTACCCATTTGTTTAGGTTCCTTAAGTATGTTGTTCTGGGCCTACCCCTGCCTCGTTTGCCTTCAATTTTGCCAGTGAGAGTTAGATGTTCAAGACCCGTATGTCTATTCAGGTGTCCCAAAAACTGCATTTGTCGTTACCTGATTGTTTTTAAAATTGAGCGTCCCGTGTGGGCTTCATCAAGCACTATTATCAGTGTCATTATAATGTTTTTAAAATGCACAAAGGAAGACATGGGAAATGGCTGCTTGTGAATGTGATTGTCTTAATATTCAGGTGGCCGTTAGAGCAGGTTTGATTGTATCTTGAACAGGTCTGGGCCAGCTGATCACTCAGGGGCAAGTTTGTCAAATGCAATGTCTGGATGACGTGAAGAAATATGTGACCGACGAATCCAAGACTGACTTCCAAAACGGATGTGTCCAGTATTGCCGTCACCACGCGTAAGAAGTTACTATAATAGTCGTTACCTGAGAATAACAAAGTTCTGTCTGCTCGGTACAAAGTTTTGGGAAAATTTGACGTCAAATATTTTGAGTTTCACAACCTGTCAAGCTTTGTCGACTGCAATTCTCTGAATACCTTGATAACAACTCCGAATAATACGTGTATCATGATGTTGATAGAGCAGATGGAACATAATTTGGTTTCAGGCCTCATGGTCTTAATAACACATGGCAGCTTCTCATAACGGTAGGCAGTGAACGGGTTCTGTCTGTCTGCTTCTTTGCCTGCATACATCGACGATAGTTTTTGTTGTTGTCCTCTTTTCTAGCTCGGTCTTATTTCTGCTCCTGATGCTCCAAGGCGGGAGCATATTATACACGTATGCCATGTTTTTTGTTTTGTTTGGTTTTGGTGTTGTGTGTATGTGTACATGTGACTCTCTGTGTATGTGCATGTGTGTGTGCGTGTGTGTGTGTGTGTGTGTGTGTGTGTGTGTGTGTGTGTGTGTGTGTGTGTGTGTTTAGAAATCTTATGTTTGGAATTAGCCCGCAAACAAAAACAGCAAAGACCTCAGCTTCATGGTGATTTGACACACCTCTTCCAGTAGAAAATCAGGATGAAATACAATCTACCTCGTCTAGTTTTATTTGATTACACCAGACGTTAACGTCAAAGTCGCTCTTCCCAGATGCAGACGTTCAAGAGTTTTAAGTGCAAAAAAGTGAAAAGTTGAACCTAGTTTCTGGACGATTTAAAGGTACAAATGTTGGGATATTCGAGCGAATTAACTTTTTTCGTTCAATCTACGTTATCGATTGAATTTATTTATTTTTAGAAAACTCTATAGCTAGAGGAAATACAGTTTATTGGTAATGGTATTGGAAAGCTAGAGGGCGAAATTATTCATGACGAATCCTGAATTGCTCAAAAGCTCTAGCTTCCTGTACTTTTTGGTTGTTATCGAGACACACATTCTGAGTTCTAGAGTAATAAAGATTATGTTTTATAAAATATTTAGCACTATTCGTCTTCAATAAAACAGAAACATTTTAAAGCAAAGTTAATGCACGTGATCCAATTCTACATGAACTGTTTTTGAAACTGCAGGACATATAAAAAATCAGGGGTAACGTTAAAGAAAAGGCAGATAAAAAGTAAGTGTATAGGTTTAACGATCATCCTTTCAACACTAGCAGGTTATCTGAAAGGCGGGATTCCGAATGCAATGTCCCTCTCTGATAGGACTTAGCGAGAAAGGTTGAATGACTTTTAATTTCTACAAAACGACTCAAATCCAAGAACACACAGTCTGGGATTCTCGACAGGACGATCCACTTCGTAGTCCGACATGGTACCAACTGAGCTAACGGAGGGCCCCAGAAAAGGCAATATTGACGCCATAAACTGTACATGACGCTGCTAGAATTTCCATCATGAAATGTGTAAGGAACATGCAATGATGTCAAAAATGTCGGTGCTTAACATCTTTCTCAAGGTATAATTAATCTTCAGAGATGTTTATAGGCATCCGTTTCGCTGACTAAGTAGTGGTAACTCATGCTGTGACCGCTGTCTAGATAGCCTATGGTCTTGGTGCCTTTGGTTTCACATTATTAATTAGACCAGCTAGATAAATTCTTGTTTATTGCGTGCTCACAAGTGAAGGCCCGGTGCCTTATACGAGTTCACCAGTTTTAATTCAGCCGTTAAAAAATGAAAGAACTGCCAGAATTAGCTGAAAAAGGAGTAAAGACGAACAATGGGGTATGTCAGATTCCCCACACAAGACCAACTCTGCTCAATAAAATAAAATGTAGAACAACACATTACTTTGTTCTCTTAAAACAACACAGACCATAGGGAGAGAGGTGCCTGAAGGTAAGTTGTGGGGCAGGAGAGCCAGGGTAAGAAGAAGAGTCAAGTGGATGAACAACATAAAACATGGACTGGCCTGAATATAGCAGAATGTGTAACTGCAGCTCGCGACCTTGAAGGATGGAGGGTCATTTAACTTCAACCTATGAGTCAGAGATGACACCACTAGGTATCCAGATAAATGATTATTTATTTATTCCCTGGTTCCCTGATCAAAAGGTTTCAGTTCACTTAAGAGGCCTTCTGAGAAAAAAAACCCCTGATTTTATGGGTTACATCATCACAGCAGAAAGGTGAAGGCGCTTGATGAACTGAACTGCTCCACTTGGGAATCTAACGCACTTTTTTGCTTTTACCTTTCCGGTCTCTGCTACCGTGTGGTGTCGAGGAGAGAAGCAATTGTTTTTCTTTTGTTTGTTATATCGTGTGTTGCATGGTTATTTTGTTCTTAACTCATGTTTCACTAACTCCCTCTCTCCATCTTTTTCCTTCCTCTCTTTGGCAGGGTTTTCATGCCCATCCGTTTAGTCATTGTTCTTTCTTTCAGTCTTTGTTCGTTGTTGTTTTTTTACGTCTGTCCGGTTGTTGCTTTTTTCATCTACTTTCTTTTGTTTCAAGCCTTTTAATACCCACTGTCGGCTTCTTAGGCCTGTCACAGCTTCGCCAGAGCCTCTTTAGTCGGACATTTCAGGGCGACCTGGGATGACCTTCATAGCTTAGTAGCTGCCTCGTGGGCAAACCCACACCATACTTGACCTGATCCCGGCAATCCCTTACTTTGTCCGTTACCGTCTCCCACGACGTGGACGAGGAACCGTGGCTCCCGGGCGGACCCCCGTGGTTGGGCTTTGGGAGACGTGTTGCTTGCAAAGGCAAGAAAACTCAACCACAAACGCCAGTAGTTCAGCCAGTACTGGGCAAACTGCTATCTTTTCAAGTGGCAACAGTCTAATTCCTTTTCTCTTCGCACCCAGTCACCGAAATAACATGTAGTGATCTTCATGGATGGATCAGTCAACAGAGGAGTCAAATCGGGATAGGCCTTCAGTGTCAGAGTTGAGGGGTAGTTGTGAAAGAGCAAAGCGGAGCAGCTGCACTGACAACATCCAGTATGTGTGTGGAGATAAAAACTATTAGTAAAGCTCTACACTGGATCGAGAACACAAGCCATCAGCGAGCAGTAATTATTACTGACTCTATGAGCACACTACAGAAGGTACAGAAAGGGATACTGTATGCGGACTGGAAGGCTACAATCAGGGAGAGCAGCCAGGAAAGATTGGTATGGTTCTTCTGCCCGGGCAACTCAGGGGTAACCGGCAACGAGAGAGCAGACAATCTTGATGGAGAAATTTGACACTGGACCAAGGAGTTTACGGAAAGTTCTAAGCTCCTTGCACTGGACCCACCAACCGTCCTAACCGCTCTAGGGAAAAATTTGAGGAAGAATAGGGCAGATAGCGGTTCCCCACACCCTAGGTAGATTGAAGGAGAAGGGGATCCAAAGAGGAGAAAGGAAACGCAGCCACCTGTGCGGACCAGTCCGACGGATCTCCAACCAGATTATAATGGAGACTGTAAGCCTCTGGGATGGATCCTGAAAGAAGGGGGGGGGGGGGGGGCAGAGATGGACATGTTCCGACTGTTGTGACCCCAACACTGAGATGTGACAAGGTGTGTATAATAAGGCAGCTATGTCAAAATGAAAAGGATATTTTCATCGTAAGTGAACCGGTACCATATGTTGTGAATCAAAGCGACCTTATCTTAGGTGTTTTAACGTGTTCTGACGGGTATCGTGTTAACAGGAAACCAATAGTACACGTAGCTAGTCCCTTGTTACCTGCGCCGTGGTCAGCAGGTGGGCTAAGTCCTTATCTCGTGACGCGAAGCTGCAGGGCCGTCGCGCTGATTTTCATCGGAAACAGGGGCGTTCAAACTTGTCTTAGGTCTTATCTGTTTCATAATATTACTATTTTGATGAGAAGACAAAATTGTCCAATCTGTTACCAACAAGTTCTTGTAAAAAAAAAATTCCAGATTTTTGTATACAGTGGAACTCGGATTCAATGAGGTCGTCCGGCCTGACCTAAATCTCGTTGAATCCGAGTGTTCGTTATAGAAAACTCGAGGTTTTGTGTAGATAATTACAGGCATTGAGCAAGTAATGTACAAGAGAAGTCACAAGAGTGCCTGAAAGGTCTGCACATTTTGAGCTGTGTAAAAAAAATACCAATTCGTTCAAAAGCACACGCCTGTGTCATCTCGATTGTTTACCAAAAAGTTGTGTTGCTGTGTGGAGCCTTGCATACGTCAACTTTTGATTTCCTAGACCAGCGCACAATTCATTACCTAGGTCTATGTCAAGACTAGCTTATTATTGTAATAATGATGAGTTGCCGAGGGGGGAAAAAGACTGACGCGTTCGCATATGCGATGTTCAACTTCAACGCCCGGACCGCCCCCCGACACGCACACACAGCCACACGTGTGCAGGCCGCCCATCCGACCCCGACACACGCCAGAGTAGACACGTACGCGTGCCAACAACACATGTATTGGTATTTTAAAAGGCTGCGGATCGGTCGCATGCAATCGGCTAAGTGAATAATGGTTCACGGTGCAGGTGCAATGGATGGTTTCCGGGAATAGTAGATAAAGTTCGTTCTGGGAGAAAAATTAGCGAAGCCACGTCTGCGGGGGCTGTTCACCCTGGAAACGACCTCGTTGAATCCGAGCTCGTTGATTTAAGTGCTCGTTGAATCCGGGTTACTTTTATTGATTTTAAGGAAGAAAAAAAACGGGGAATCTGTCTCATTTCGTTGAATCCGAGTTCTTGTTGAATCCGAGCTCGTTAAATCCGAGTTCCACTGTATCTCCTTCAAAACCATAATTTTTCTGAAATAAGATTGACTCTTTTGTGCTTTCGGTGTCCAAATTCGAACAATGAATTGAAACCTGAAGAGGATTAAAGTTGCAGCCTCCGTGCTAAAAGCTCAAGGCCAGAGAGTAGACTGCTTCGGGAAAGAAATAATAATAATTTAGATTAATAGGCATAAATACAGATAAGCAGAAGGATATACAAGAGGGCAGATAAGATAATAATATGCCTTTTTCAAAA